CACGTGTACATTGTTTTAATAAAACACAATTTCCCAGGTTGCTTTGCGATCAGAACAACAAAGATGGCGATTCAGCTCGGCGTTCCCGGACGTGATATGAATTGTCAAACGTACAACAGATGAACTAACAGAGCGACCACCGGCACAGCACTGCAGAAAACTCACCACTGCGGTGCAACTACACAACAACACAACTGCCAACGTCGCAACATACACTCCGACGGACAGAATGCCGTCTCCGAAAGCTAAGAACCCCGGTCGAAGCGGAGGAAGCCCGGTGCTCGGCAGCTCCAACGGCCGCTACGAGTTCATGTCACTGACGAAGCCGCTGAACCGCTCCTCGCCGCCGCACCTGCTCCAGCGGCAGGGCTCCGACCCGACCACCGCCCGCCTCCGAGCCTCGGAGAGCCCCACTCGTCGCCGGGGCTCCAGCTCCTCCACGGGCTCGGCGAGCGGTCAGGGGCCATCCGACGAGGACGGTATACGGCTGAACCCGTCCTTCATCCGCGTAGCGCTCAGCTCGCTGCTCGCCATCGACCTGTGGCTGTCCAAGCAGCTGGGGGTGTGCGCCTGCGAGGACTCCTCCTGGGGCAGTGTGCGCCCCTTGATGAAACTCATAGAGATATCTGGACATGGCATCCCCTGGCTGGCCGGTACCGCCTACTGCCTGTATAAGAGCGACAGTGCTGCAGGACAAGAAGTCATGCTCAACCTCTTCATGGGTAAAATAACTCTGCTGTTTGTGTTGCTTCATGTGTTTTTCCTTTTAAAATGACATGCAGATACAGATCCCTCTATCAGTAGCAATGCAGATGGGTCTCTAGGTACCACTGAGATGCAGCATTACTTAGTGGCATCGCACACCCCCCAGCTCCTCTCAGGTCCTGCTTTGATATGCACATCTCTTTTATCACAGCTAACTTTAGCTTTAAAAGACTTCCCCCACCTCCATTAACATTACTGTTAATTTCCTGAGACAGTTGTCATGCGGAGATGTTTGTTTCTGGCCTCGTTCCATCTCTGATTGCAGTCTCCCATTTTCATTTATTGGTTTGAACCTACTCTACATGTTGCACTGCATGCTCTGCATTATATTTTTCCATGTTTGTGTCAGCCAGCTGCGGTGACAGTTGAAATCTTCTAACATTGAAATGGTGATAGCTGTGTTGTCTTTGTTTCTTTTCTTTTTTTTTTTAAATGGCATGCACACACCATAAACCTTTACCGATAGCTATGCAGATAGGACTCTAGGTACCACAGAGATGCAGTATTACTTGGTGTCACAGCCCCCCTGTTCCTTCCAGGTTCTGATTTAACATGCACGACTCTTTTATCACAGCCCACGTCACCTATAGAAGACTTTACCCACATCCCATACCATTATATTTAATTTTCTGACACATTTTCCTTCACCAGTGCTGCCCTGTCACGTGGAGATGTTTGATTCAGGCCTTGTTCCGTCTTTAATTGCAGTCTCCCCTCCTCTCTTCTCAGTTTTAACCTACTTTACACATTGCTCCACGTCTCCTGCATTATTTGTTCCCGTAATTGTGTCGGTTAGCGGACAGGTGTGCTGAGGAAACAAGTGAATGCCTGGAACGTTGAAGTGGTGCAACTGGTATAGCAAATGTGAAATGATCTAAGGTTTTCTGTTGAGACTTCGCCTTCAGAGAGAGTTTGTGTGACTGATGCTTCCTGAAACCACATAAAGGAAAATATGTGGCAGTTGAATAGTGCTACAACAAGAAACACCAGTTCTTCTGTGTGCTGTCACTCTGTTTTTCATTCAAAAATGGCATGGACACAAAAAAAACGTCATCAATAACTGAGCAGACCGGTCTCTACATAGCATTGAGATGGGATGAGGTGCAATACTAGGGACTTTCTGTGACTGACGGTTTGTGAAGCCACACAAAGGAAATATCTGACAGTGAACCAGAGCTGCAACAAGAGCTGTTAAAGTAATCGCCATCTGTTCCTCCGTGTGTTCTCCTCTTAAAACTGCATACAGACCTTTATCTAAAACTGCTCCTCCCAGGTCCTGATTTGCCATGCAAAGCCTATTTTTTATCACAGCTAACCTCTGTTACAAAAGACTTAAACCATCTACCATTACATTGCTGTTAATTTTCTGACACATTTTACTCTGTCAGTGCTGGCATCTCACATGGACAAGTCTGATGCTGGCCTTGTTCCATCCCTGATTGCAGTCTCCTTCACTTATGTCTTGATTTTAATCTGCTCTACATGTTGCTCCCTGTGTCCTGCAATGTATTTTTCCATGTTTGTGTTTGTGCCAGTTTACAGATGAGCTGAGGAAACAGGTGAATGCTTGTAGACTCAGAAATGGTGCAACAGGGATAGCAAATGCGACGTGATCTAAGGTCTTGTGCTGAGACTGTGTCATCAGAGAGAGTTTCTGTGGCTGACATTTGGCAGCGTATATAGCTGCAACAAGAAAAACCAGTTCGTGTATGTGTTGTCACTCTGTTTTTCCTTCCAAACTGGAATGGAGACTAAAACCGTCATCAATAACTGTCCAGATAGATCTCTACATAGTATTGAGATGGGATGAGATGCAGTATTACTCGGTGTCACAGCCTTCCAGCTCCTTCCAGGCCTGATTTGCCATACACAGCTCTTTTATCACAGTTAACCTCAGCTATAAAAGACTTTATCCACCCACCATGATATTTTTGTTAATTTTAGGACACATTTGGTGACACATTTTCCTCCACCAGTTCTGGCAGCATGGAGTTGGCGTCCGTTTTTCATTCAGGCCTTGTTCGATCTCTAACGACAGTCTCTCCTTTTTATTTTTTATTTTTAACCTTCTCTGTGTGTTGTTCTATCTCCTCTGCATTACATTTTTCTAGATTTGTGTCAACCAGCTGAGGAGACGGGTGAATGCGTCTAACTCAGAAATGGTGTAGTTTGGATTCCAAATGTAGAGGGTCTTGTGCTGAGGCTTCTCTTTACCTTTAGAGGGAGTCTGTGTGACTCATGCTATGTGAGGAAACAAAAAGGAAATATATGACAGTGAAGTAAAGCTGCAGCACCTAATTGATGAGTTGTCAACTATTCAAGTGGTCGCCATCTATTTTTCAAATCCGTTCCTTCGTGAAATGACATGCAGACACAAAGAAACCTTTGTCAATACCTATGCATCACTGAGATGTGTTGAGCTGCAGCAGTACTTGGTGTCACGGCCCCCCTGCTTCTCCTGGGTCCTGAGTTGCTTCGCACAGCTCTTTTATCACAGCTCACATCACCTACAGAAAACAACCGACCTGCAGTAACATCACGAGTAATTTTCTCATAAATTTTCCTCCATCGGCAGGCGCTCATGAGGACATTTCATCTTTTCTTCATTCTGGCATCTCTGGTTGTGAGTCAGATTGCAAACTGAGAAGGGGGGAGACCTTTTCATTTTTCGGTTTTAACCTACTGTACATGTTGCTCCGCATCTTCAGCATTCTATTTTTTACAACTTGTGTCAGCCAGCTTTTGGTGAACAGAGAAAACAGGCTTCTAATTCTGAAATGGTGCTCTGAGGTCTTGTGCTGAGACCTCTCAGTGCCTTCAAAGGGAGTCTGTGTGACTCATGCTGTCTGAAGCCAGCTGAAGGAATTATATACAAGTGAAACAGAGCTGCAGTGCTAAGTCATTTAGTTGTCAACAATTACTTTTAAACATTAGGTGGAGTCATTTTTTAACTCCAGCTATCTAAATTGGAGTATTTGGTGGTTTCTGTACTCCTCTCTAACAGCAAACTGATTTTTTTTTTGGTTTGTGGACAAAGCAAGACACTGAGGATGTTCCATTGAGCTTTGGGAAATATTGAATGACATTTTTCACCTTTTTGTGACATGTCGTAGGCCAAACAACTAATTGATTGATTGATAATCGACAGAATGAAAATAGTCAACTCACTGCAGTCCTACACTGAAGAGGTGGGGCAGAATATACAATCCTCAAAAACACAAGGTGCAGCAAGATGCAGATTAGAGTATAGTGCAGTGTAGTTAGAGATGTAGCGAAGTCCAGTCTTTGGATGCAGATTAATTTATGAACAGCAGCTCTTACTTTAATTGTCTCATTTAGACAAGCAATAGAAATGTGTGGAGCAAGCTCACACTTTGTACCCAGATATGTTTTCTGAGGTCTGTTGTTTCTCTCAGAAATACTGACCCACAATGTCACTGTTGTCTGAGTGAACTTCATTATGCATCATTTTAACTTTTTTATTGGAATATTTTTCTTGCATTGTGTGATAATTGCATTGACACAGCAGCGTTATCCAGTGGTGAAATCATTTACTAATCGTCACATTGCAAGAAAATTAAACAACAAACTGCAGACTGTTGTTGTAAACTGAATGTCCTATAGGGTTTAGTAGGAATAAGCCATTTCGTGATATATACTAGGCAAAGTGTGATGAACGTTTTTCACTCATTTATGACCCATTTTTGGGGGATTAGTGATGAAAAACTGAATTACACTCTTTTTTTTTGTCCTACTAATAGGATGGATCTAGCAAAAGCTTAATTGTAAGAGGCATTCAATCGATTGTTAAATAGGAGCTTCTCTTGGTTTGACCTCATCTCGCTGTTTTCGAGAGGTACAGCTGCACTAGAGACTTGCTCTGAAGTTTTAAGATAAATAATTTATTTTCCCCCTGCAATATTTCAGTGGTAAAAATAATATTTATCTGTCCTCCCTCCTGTATGCATGATGTCAGACAGTAAGCAGCAGCCTCTTGTCTTCAACAGTTTCTTTCCGCAATAAACTAGATCACTATTAATCACCAGGGGGTTATTTTTGGAGCGCACATAATTAGGTAATATATTTAAACCAGCTAAGTACTAAGAAAGACACAGTTTAACATCAATAAGAGCCTGGAAAAACAAAGTCACTGTTACTTCAGGACTCTGCTTTCCTTAGTCCTAACAGGCCAGTTTTTTAAACAAACAGGCTACAGTTTGATGCTGCCAACAACGTAAGAAATGTTAGTACCTGAAGTCTTTGTACACTCTGATTATAAACCACAGCTTTTAGTTATCAGTAAAGAATGAAATGCATAGCTGCACATTCATTGTGCTGAAATCCTTTTATCGGATTGCCAGCAGCGATTGGCTCAGTGCCACCTGACTGTTGCATTAAATTTTCAACACTGCAGCCCTGAAGAGCATATAAATCTGTTGCTAAAAAATCTTAATATATGCTGAGACACAACTTTGAAAAATTTCACTGGCTCCTTTATGCAACTCTGCAGTTTGAAGGAATTTTTTATCATATCGAATAAACCTTTGATGCACCTTTGGGATGTAAAATACAAATATATATATTTATTTTTTTTGCAAAAGGCACATCCGGCCTGTATTCTAACACAGGCAGACGAGAGTTTTTCATAAATGCTAGATGTGCAACTACTAACCATTGCAATTAGAAGTTATGAAATGAATCACCAAATATTTTGGTAATTAATTTGTTTGGGTAATTAATAAAAAGTCACAATTCTCCGACTTTAGCTTCTTAAATTTTGAATGTTTTCAATTTATTTACTCCACTGTGACAATAAACTGGATACATTTTGAGTTGTGCACAAAACAAGACTTTTACGGATGTCGTCTTGTACCTTGGGAACCACAGATTGACATGTTTGTTTTTTTTACCACTTTTTTGACATTTTATAGCACAAATGACAAACTGGATAACAGAGAAAATAATAGATGTATTAATTGACAATTAGAGGTTAGATGCAGCCCCAGTACATGCCATTGTAAATTGAATTATGCTATAAATACGAACTAAAAATGCAGCATTTTCCCCACTTTATTATTACATCCAATTTTCCTGTCTGTGTACTTAAAGGATTCAAGATTTTAGTTTTATTTGTCACATGCTCATGCAGTATGTGCAGTAAAAAGTAAAGTAACTGTTCCTGAAGGCTGTGCAATACCAATAAGATATTATTAAAGAACATTCTTTAAAAACATTAGAAAAAAAATCCAGGTATCTTGACTCAGACACTTTGTACTTGACTCTGGTTGTTGTAATTGGCTGCAGAGGAACCTATTATATGGATTAACTCGATTAGAAAATCCCGGATTAACAGGAAGCAGCTTTTCCAGACTCTTGGCTGTTACAGATCCTCGGAAGGTTTAACGTTTTGACTTGAAGAGAGCGGTGGTTGATTTTATGAGTAGCTTCTGTGTCTGCTTTGGAAAAGATCGATACCAGTTATCGTGCTTTTGACTAAAGAGGTCTGTCCAGGTACATCAGTGGTTTTGTGAATCTGGATAACTCTGCAAGAATTAACAGCAACACATGACCTGTACTGGTGTGTGTCACTGTCTTGATGCTACCACCAGATGTTGCCAAAGCGAAGAGTTTTAAATCCTATTCATGCTCTCCGCTGCTTTAGCCAAATAACTTAGCTGGACGCTTCTCTTCTTCTCTGGTATGAAGAATACACTCAGAATGTGGATGCAGGTTAGTTATTTATATAAACACCACAGAAAACAAGGACTGTAGTGATGTAACAGCAACACAAGACATCCAGACACAGTCACCACCCTCAGATACCTATTTTTAGCCTTACAATGCCATCAGTGTTTTTCTGGTTGTGATGTAAATCTGTACCAGGGAAACAAAAGTAACCTCTCTCATCGTTGTTCCAGCATATCCCCTCTTTATTCCTCTAAATATTTAATGGTTTACATCTGTCTGCCAGTGCCTTCTGCTTTGTTGTGGTTGCATACAGTGCGTGCTGCTGTTTCTTCATACTGTATAACACATCTCCTCCTTCCCTCCCTGCAGGCCTGATGCTGGACCTGATCCTGGTCACCATTGTTAAGGCGGTGGTGCGTCGGCGTCGTCCAGCACATAACCGCATGGACATGTTTGCCACCTTTTCTGTGGATCGCTACTCCTTCCCATCCGGCCATTCCACCCGCGCTGCCTTGTGTGGGCGTTTCCTCCTGGCTCACCTGGTGCTGGCCGCCCCGCTAAGAGTCCTCGTGATGCTGTGGGCGGGCCTGGTCGGGCTGAGCCGAGTGCTGCTGGGCAGACACAACGTAACTGATGTGCTGTTTGGCTTCTGGATGGGCTACTGCCAGTATAACCTGGTGGAGATGCTGTGGCTCTCACCTCAAACCCTGCAAGGGCTGCTGGGACAGTTAGCTTAACCCAAAGCACTGAAGGAGGAGGAGACATGGTGGTTTATATCTTGATTGTGAGAGCACCTGCACACCTTTTTAGAATGATATGTGAGAGAAATTGACTAGAGAGGAGAGCTCTATCGAACACAGTTTGCTTCTTCTGTTATCTGACACTTAAGTCCATCTCTGGCTCTCATTCTAAGGTAGCAAGTAGCCTGCCTATAATAAGTAGTACATGATTTTATTCACAACAAACCAGAAGGGAACAAATTTGATCAGTTTACTTCCTGATGCCGCCTCACTCACCTCTGCCACTTCACTGGCCTGATTGAAGGATACAATATGAAGTCGACTCTTTCCAGTTGTTTGGTTTACTTTTGCTAATAAGGAAATATTAAGTGCAGTTTTGTGCAACTTGCAGATTTGTCTGCACACCGCTTCTAACTTTACATCACAGAGGAGAAGTCAAATACTTGATAATTAATGTGAATTTACTATAAAAACATGAAAGGTATAGGCTTAAACTGCAGGTTTTATGTTTTAATCAGTCAGTTGCAGAACCATACAGCCATAGGTGAAATAAATCCAGTATGTGTATCCTGATTTGTTCTATGATTAAATATCCTGCTCAGTGTCCGAGTGCTCAGCAGCTGACTAGCAGTTACCAAAGTGATATGAGTAGAAGTAGTTTAAACACACTTGTTGTGATCTTTTCTGTTGTTGCTCTAAGCTGAACAAGATTCACTTTCTTGAGAAACTTTCATGGTGGTACGGTTGTCCCCCTGTTTTCACAGATTGAGCTTCTTTAGGATCATTTCTAAAGACGAATCTTGATATCAGTATCCTGAAAGCACAGAGGACTTTTATTTCCTCTTAACGTTACTACTGATTTAATAGGATTAGATGTTACATTGTTTGAGGTATACACACCCTAACCCACTTAAACATTGACTATATCATGTTTTTTTTTTTTTCTTTCCTTAATAATCAACCAAAACACCTTATGTAGCTGACAACCAATCAGCTCTGATTGATTAGATTTGGTACGTACTCACATTGTTATCAGGGTCATTTTAGAGAAATTGGCAAATACAGTATATAGTTTTCTTATCAGATACGTTTTGGTATGTTTTTATCAAACATATTATGTATCTACCTGCCTTCGCCCTAAGTCGACTGGGTTAGGCTCCAGTCCCCCCGCGACCGTAGTGAGATGGATGGATCTTATGTATCTGTTTATTAATTTGGAATTCACATGATTTTGTGGGTTTAGGGATGGAAAAAGTGAAAAAATGTAAAATACATGTCCTCTTCTCTTAGCATTTTAAATGAGGCTGAACTCTAGCATACTGTACAATACATTTGTCTATATTTGGAAGGAATGCTGCAAAACTAATGGGCTTGAGTCTTATATAGTACAGTGGTACATACTGTATATTTACATCTTTACTGTAAAGTCAGATTTACTAAACATAACCTGTTCACATGCTTGTAATAGACTCACAGATGTGCTGTTGAAAATTTATGGAAAATTGTGACTGTATGACACATTGGTTGTCGTTTTTCAGTCGTTTTAACTTGCTGTTAGAGAAAAAAAAATATTTGAAGCGCAGAAAAAGTGGAGTTCAAAGAAAAAATCTGATCAGCTGTGGTTTTACAGAACATTAATGCTGTCACATTTTGTTCATCTAAGCCCATCACTGCATTACAAAAGCAAATCTGAAATTAATTGTGGCACTTTGCAGTCAATATTGAACTCTGGTTTCATACCACTCACATATTCTGAAATCCAGCTACCACTCATCTGAACAACTCATATATTCGAGTGTTGGTTATGGAACAAGGAGTGGTTTAGATATACCTGGAGCCTGGACAAGGGAAGCATGTGTAAATACCTGAAATGTGTTTAATTGCAAGTTTAGGCATGATGGCTCTGACTTAAAACAAACGCCAAGGTGAAGAACAATAGCAGCTATAGTCATGAGCCCACTTGTTAATCTTAGGCCAAGAAAATATCTTTTGAAATTTTGTTCATTTTTAATTCTGTTCAATCTTGTTTAAATCTTGCACTGTGAAATCATTTCTAAAGATCCTGGCATTTTCCACTTTTTACATGCTGCAGCCATGTTTACAAGAATGGCAATAATTTTACAGACAAGGAGAGATAATAGTTAGAAAACATCTTTGGCGGTTTGTTGGTGGTGTCGGGTTTGGGTTGTGATCTGGTTTGTTGCTTAGGTTCATGGATCAGTAATCAGAAGGACTTTTTGTAATCGGTTCTCTATGTGCCCTGGTTTTGTGGAAATTTGTGCAACTGTAAATGAATAAAATAATTTCGCCTGTACTGTGATATCGCATGGCCACGTATGACAAATTGCAGTTTGACATCTTGTGATCTGAAACCTTGCATTTTCATGATGTCTCAAATAGCGCACAAATTTACAGTTGAAGATTCATAAAGGCAATAATATGTGAGGATGTGAAAAGTCTTCCTACAGTTAATATTTGATTTATTCGCAGCTCTGGGCTTCTACTGCACCACATCTGGTTTGATGTTTACACACATTGGGGTTTAAGATGCACTTAATAATTCCTAGAAGCCCCATGTTTGATGCTTAATCCACATCCATGTACTGTGCCACTCACCAGCTGGCTTAAGTGCCAGGCTGAGATCCAACATTAACATTATACTGGCGCCGATGGTTAACGTGATGCACCTCAGATGTGTTTAGCGCCATCACGGAAGCTGTCGACTGGCACGTAAACCCGTGTAGGATTGTGTAGAGAGTTGTGGTCAACTGTTTTGTGCCCTTTCAACTGCTGGCTACCCCTCATCTATTGGGCCATATCAGAAGAATCTTTTTTTTTTTTTAGTTTAAGCTACATAGAAGCTGAAGGAAACTTTAAATCTTCATTTTATTATCAATTACAGAGAAAGGAAATACTGGGCATGATTGTCCATCAAAAGGAATTTGGAGTGGTACTGAAGAGATTTAAATAGAAGCAAAGGAAGTGTTGTGCATGTTTTATTATTGCACCTGATCCATTCATTCGCATGGTTCACATTCAACCTTCGTTCTCATCTTCGCTGCATGACTGTTGCTGCTGTGTTGGTGTAAAAGGCTGGACCACTCTGTCAGCAGAGAGCAAATGCTTGAATAAGTTACACAGCAGCTCATTTCACAGACAGACATCTTAGCACTGCCAGAAACCAGGAGGTGTTAATATGCAAATATGTGGTTGTATTCAACTGTTTACAATTTCTTTGATGGGAAAAATAAATAAATAAACATGATTAGTCTCTGCAGTTTTCACTGTTTGAGAGATTTGAGGCTGTGAACCACCTTTTTGTGGCTGGTGCCGTTTGCTCTAAAGCAGATTGAGCTGTTTGGTACAAACCAAAGCAATGTAACAGACCCTTCCCATCACTGACTGTTTTGTTGACTTCTTGCATACTGTGATGTCTTTCTGCAATAACTAACCAATTATCTTCCCAGTGCAAGTGAGTGAGGTGGCACTTACAGGCTTTCTTTTTTTTTTAATCACATTACCATTCTGTTGCAAATCTAAATATGCTGGATTGTGAATTTTGTGACCAAATGATTTTTTATGATTGATTTTTGTGGAGTTGTACATTGAAACAAAGCTTAAAACTAAGATACGTTGTTTATCACCGTGATTACAGGCACTATATATTTGTGTATTGGATAGATTTTGCACATAACATGTCACCAGTTTGTTCTAAGGTTCACAAACTTTTAGGAAAATACATTTTGCGGGTTTATTCAGCCCTCAAGGATTGTCAGCAGCTGTCACATCAATTCTTGCACATAGACATGAAGCCCGCTTCGGCATTGTTCTCTACACTCTGTTTTGTCTGCTGAAAACTATCAATAATATTGTATGTAAACTGTATAGAACCTATTCTGATGTATCTTAATGTGTATATATATATAATATATATATACACAGTATGTCTGTATGGTCACGTGATTACATTGTTATGTTCAATGAATTATTCCCACATGATTTGATTGTAATGATTTTTAATTAAATGGGGAACAAATCTAAAACTGTCTCCTGTCTCATATATAAAAGCTGCCCTTATTGTTGTGTCTTATTAACAGCTTTACAGTAATCCATGAAACTGTTTAAACTGCCGTATTCTGTGTTAAAGGTGCTACCCAAAAAAAAATGGACAGAATTTAACACTGTGATGTAAAATCATTACTACTCAGTCACTTATCAGCGCTCGTCCACTCACTTGGATGAGCTTGAAGGAAACAAGCTGACCTTTAGTCCATCAGATTTAAGCAACCAAGGGCCAGCTATGTCATTGCTTTTTTTGGGAGGAATCTGGAAGGAGAAAAAAAAAGTGTGCGTCCCTATTTACTGTGGGGGTTTAAAAGTGTGCTGAGGTGATGCTCATCCCACTTCACAGATCAGCACGCTAAGATCAAGGTAAGAAGGAAAAAGGATGCATTTGTCTTTCTGTTCTTTACTGCAGATGGCTCCTACTTTAATGCAGTTTGAGAGTTGTTAACATCTGATGAAACCACAACATAACTATCATTATTTTATTGTTCGCAAAATAGCTTGTGAACACTTAATTGTTCGTTATGGAGCGATACAGTCACAGCAGGTCATTCTACAGTCTTTGTGCTCCCAAAAACCATAAGATCATCATTAGACAAAAGGGGACTGAAGCACATTTTGACTCTACTGTGTTTTAATCAGTCTGAACAAAGACATGAGGCAGACTATTCAACCTAAACCTGGTGTACGATTGTCATTAGATCACTGGGTTTTGAAATCTACTGGATGATAAATCAGTGGGCAGGGGTTGTGAAAAGTCAGCGTCCACATCCCTGACACCAGATCAGAACCAAAGGTACACTGACCTCTCAAAGTTATAGAGCTAAAAGTACAAAAAGTACCAGAATAAACATCTGTCATGTGTGACAGCCCAGAGGAAGCACAACAAGCATTTCATTCATGTTAGAGGACTGACATCCTTAATCATCAGTTTCAGAAAACTTTTAGCAGGATGGGAATGTCTCCGCCTGACTTGTCAGATAGTTATATATGCTTGTTTGTATTTTTATCCTCAGGGTCTTGTTTTCTTTTTCCAGCCCTACATAATTGCTTTATTACTTTTTGTTTGTTTCCTGTCACATTTGACAGATGCTGGTTCTGGTGTTTATTTAACCTCTATCTCTGTAACTTTAAAACCGTCCTGTTTCTTTGTTTCTGACCTGGTGTTCAGGGTGCACCACTTGGACACTGACTATGGCAAATCCCACACATGAATTCATCATCCAGTTGATCTGAAACCGTGTACCCAATGACAAACGCTCACCTAAATATAAGCATTTTCCTCATATCTTCGTCCACGTTGACTCTGGTGAAGACACACGAGTGCTGAAACATTAGTCTGCACAATCAAAGGTTAATCAGCGCACTCCGGTCCTCTTTTGACCTCTTGAAATTTGTTTTCTGTGACCTGAGAAGCGCTGATTCAGCTGGATTTTGTTTTAACTGCAAGATAACCTTTATTCTTTTTCTACTTCTATGAAGTGAGATTGATGTTGTTTAACAGAACGTGAGATAAAGAGCTGATAAGTCAGGGATAAGATAAGAGTTATGTAAACAACAGCTAAAACATTCCTCTACACTGTGTGCTTTAAGAAAAAACTTCACAGTAATTCCGTAATCTAGTGTAAGTTGAGCAGATGTAGAGCAAAGATGCAACACATCTGACTTTCTTTTCTTGCTCTGTTTAAAAGTTTTACAGCTGGAAATAAGACTGAGGTTCATATGAGAATGTTATTTCAGTGCCTTTTTTTCATTGTTTTTTGCATCTAGTTCTTTATATTACATGTTTTAAATCTAATGTAAGCTCCAGCATACAATGCAAGCACTAAACTTTGGAGTGAGGCTGAAAGGTGCACATTTAGAATTGCACACCTAAATCTGGTGAAATTACTCACTGAAACCAAATTTTTCCCCCATCTTGTGGCAGCTCCAACATGGCGCAGAGAGTAGCAGTGATCGGGGCCGGGCCCGCTGGTCTGACCAGCATAAAGGCTTGTCTGGATGAGGGCATGGTGCCAACCTGCTTCGAGAGCAGCGATGACATGGGAGGACTGTGGAAGTTCAAGGTAAGTGTTTACGATCAAGCCATTCATGTGAAAGTGAACCTGATAAAAAAAAAAAACTCACAGGTGTCACTATCTGTCTTCTTCTTGTCCTTTAAAACTGTTTCTCTGCAGGAAGTGTCAGAGCCCAACAGGGCCAGTATCTACCGCTCCCTCACGATCAACATCTCCAAAGAGATGATGTGCTACAGCGACTTCCCCATCCCCCCTGATTTTCCCAACTACATGCACCACTCTAAAATCCTGAAATACTTCAGAATGTATGCGGAACACTTCAAACTACTGCGACACATTCGCTTCCAGGTGAAACAAAATAGACATCAAAGAGCATTTGGTTCCAAAACTGCAGTTAGATAAACATCTGGAAAAATAATCTACTTCTGTTTGTCATATTTTAGACCTCAGTGAAGAGTGTCAAACCGAGACCAGACTTTTCTCGGACTGGTCAGTGGGAAGTAGTTACTGAGAACAAAGACGGACGGGAGGAGAGGCATGTTTTCGATGCAGTTATCTGCTGCTCTGGTCACTACACCTACCCTAACCTGCCACTTAAAGACTTCCCAGGTAAAACCACGTGTCCCGTCCTGCATTACAGTGAGGCACATCTTTATATCCAATCTTGAAATATTAATAACTTTGTTTCTCACTCTTTGCAAAAGATTCCAGAAACAACATAAAACATGAAAACGTAATTCTGTGTTGCAGGAATTGAGACATTTGAGGGAAAATACCTCCACAGCTGGGACTACAAGGGGCCTGAGGACATGTATGGGAAGAGGGTGGTGGTCATCGGCATCGGTAACTCAGGGGGCGACATCGCTGTGGAGACCAGCAGAGTTGCAGAGCAGGTTGGAAAGTATTTTTGATTTGTCTTCTTCTTCTACAGCATATGTGATAAATTCCATCTTTTTCTCCCATTCTACAGGTGTATATGAGCACTCGTCGCGGTGCCTGGGTCATCCGACAGGTTTCAGACAATGGGCTGCCAGTGGACATGAAGTACAACACGCGTTTTGTCCACATCCTGTTCCAGCTGCTGCCCATCAGCTTCTTCAACTGGCTTGGTGAGAAGAAACTCAACGCCATGTATGACCACACCATGTATGCCCTCAAACCCAAACACAGGTAGGTTCTTTAAGGCTCTCTCCCATTGTTGCTGGAGTGTGAAGGCAGTACAGTCAATTACAGTAAAGGATTTCTGTCTGCTTTACCTTCTTCTGCTGCCTCCACAGGCTTTTCAGTCAGATCCCAGTAATCAACGATGACCTGCCGCTAAAGATTCTGTCTGGATCAGTCGTCATCAAACCAAATGTGAAGGAAATCCGTGGTTCCACTGTGGAGTTTGATGATGGCAGCATTGTGGTAAAGGTCAGCAAACAGCTTCTTCTTGAACATCCCTCCCAAAGGTCTTTGCTTACTTCCAGCTCTGTTTGATTCTTGCTCTACTACTCATTCCAGGTGGATACCATTGTATTCGCCACCGGATACAACTACGATTTCAACTACTTGCCAAGCAGCACTATGTACAAATCTGGGCACCGTGTGGGTCTCTACAAGCATGTATTTACCCCAAACCTTGAGCATCCCACTCTGGCTGTTGTGGGTTTCATTCACGCCCTTGGAGCCATCATGCCTCAGGCTGAAATGCAGGCCCGCTGGGTTGCACGTGTATTCAAACGTAAGGCTGTATGGACAGTTTATTGTTAGCCATTAGTCTTGATACTTCCGAAGCACAAGACAGTCTGTTGACCTCTGTCTCCTTGTTGTTGTTTTTTAACTGCTCAGGTAGTAAAAAGCTGCCCTCAAACCAGGCCATGATCAAGGCTGTTGAAAAGGACACAAAGGACATTGACAAACAGTAAATATTACTTTGAATTATTCTTCTATATTACCTGTTCTTCTGTGTTATGTAAACATACTTTACCATGTAAAGGTGTACATGTCCGCAAACCATTTACACCTTCAGCAAATACAGAACAATATTAGTGCTCATTTTCGTCCTGTTTCAGGCCATTTGACAAAGTTCAATTCAGTTCAGTTCAGTTCAGTCTCCTTTGATATCTGGTTTAAACCCAAACATAGACTATATATAAACGATGGGTGTAGCCTCTGAGTCTGAAAAGTAGGGATGATGTAGAAGTGCCTTAACCCTGCATTCTTTCCAGTGGCCAGCAGGGGACGACTCCACTGGCTTCCAAAACAAGCTAGATTGTAGAAAAGTCTATAAGAAAAAGATACTTTTTCCAACTCAATTTATTACCTTTGCAAAAATGTTTCTAATGAGTTTGTGGTCTCAGCTGGTAGCTTCAAGACTTTCCAATGCAGTGTGGTGTTCATTTTGGAAACTGTGGTTTCATTTAGAGTAAAGCAGACAATAAAGCCGGGTATGTTGTAGGGCAGACCAACCTCATCATAATTGACAGGCCGCAATCATATCAGTGTGTTCTCAGTCATATCCACCTCTTGGCACCTCTTATCACATCTGATTTCAAAATGTCAAGTTGGAAATGGGACAATGCATAACTCAAGAGTTCAAAACAGAAGACTGCAAACCCATGGGTGGCTATGTTCACCTTTTATGTCTGAAAACAGCTGCTGATGTTATGCAGTGCAAGTTTCCAATTCAGGAGCCTCATGGTTATAAGTTGTAGATGAACCACTGAATCTCTGGGGGGCGCTGACTTCCAACTCAACAGCCTAAAGATACTAAAACATGCTTTTGACCTGGGATAATTTACAAGTTCATTTCTGTGGGTTCATGATACAGGCTAATTTGATATATAATTGAAACCTATTGATTTCTGCAGAAGTAATGATCAACAAAACCTGTATCACTCTTGAAACTTTTAAAATCTCAGTTAGACTTACCTAAGTGCCATCTTGGAAGGCCTCATACTTACAGCATATATATTAACTTATATTCATTTGAGTGTTGAATCTTGCATTAATTCCTTGGTTATCCTGTCAACAGCTACATCGTGTCAAAGCTGACGCCGCTTCAGGTGGACTTTGTTTCCTACATGGACGACATAGCTGGAGAGATCGGAGTGCGGCCAAGTCTCCCCTGGCTCTTCTTCACTGACTACCCCTTGTTTAAGAGGGTTTTGTGGGGGCCTGTTACCGCCTACCAGTACCGGCTGATGGGACCAGGGAAGTGGGAGGGAGCCCGGCAGGCCATCTTCACCCAGTTCGACCGCATGTACCAACCCTTAAAAACCAGAAAGGTCTGAGATGCAGATGAGCACTGTTTCTTTCACATTTTATAAATCTTCCATCTAATGCACAACATACTTTGGCGCATTATCTTAACATGATATAAGACACAAATGTAAACGCAATATTTTCCGTCTCTTGCAGACGGTGGAACAAGAGCCCTCCTTAGCTGGACGCCTGATGAAGCTGAGCCTGACTATGATGGCTGGAGGAGCTGTCGTCTACTATGTCCATGTACGCAATCCAACCACCATCCCTGCCTTGCTGTCCAGCCTTCGTCCACAAACAGTCTGAACACAAGCAACGAGAACGTTCCTCTGAAACACGCAAAATACCAAATACCACATCTACTGCTTTTAGATCCCTTGAAAAATCTTGCTCTGTGTACTTTTGTTTGAGCTGTAGTTATGGAAATCTTTATAGAGGTCACTGTCTGAGCTGCTGATTGATGCCGAGATGTTCTTCAGTCTTTGTTTTTAGACTATTTAAATGCTTGCCAGAAACTGTTCCTCTAAAAAATTGTTTCATATGCAATTATTTTGCAACGTGGAAAGTTCTAGTTTACTTTTCACTTTTACAAAGCTCATTTTAATATTTATTATTAAAATAGTGCATTTTCACCATGATTTTTATTGTATTAATAAAGATCAGCAGTTACTTGAAACATGAGAGGGGAAAAATGCCAACCATAGATTTCAGCGTTGCAGTCACATTTTAAGTTGACTGTGGATGTAAACTGCTGATTTTAATCAGGTGCATATATATATATGATCACAAATGGCAGAGAATGACATGAGCCTGCCTTTTAATTTGCTTTGTAATATCTTTGATGTCAGATTTACTGGGCTGTTAAAGGTCAAGCACAGGTACACTAAAAAAAAGACTTATTGGTGCTATGTTTAACTTTGTTAATGTGGAATTGTTTCCTGTGTGAATGAACCAATACATTATAGATGTGATCCGAATGTCATGTGTCTAACTCTACTGAAATTAACAGAAAGAGAAAATAAGACAAGATAAAATAAGATTATTCTTTTGCAGTGTTACAGCAACAAATGGGATAGTGCAGAAATGTAGGGACTACAGTTAAAAAATACAAATAAACACAACATACCCATGAGTACACAATAAAAATATAAATTATGGCATCTCACAAGTTGTGAAAGGAAATGCTGCTTTAGCAATGTGTCCTCACTTTTATCTGATGATAGCAGTTGTGGGGTTTCGCGGTTTGAAGAAACACATGGTCATAGTAAAATAGTACAGCTCGCAAAACAGAAAAAAACATATATGGATTTATTAAGCTCTGAAAAAAGTGTAAACACAATGAGAGGTTCAGCTTGCAGGCGATGTTAATATGCTTCCCAGTCCTTTTATTTTCTTAAATAATAATTGCATTTTTTTTCTTTACATTTGTTTATGCATTATATTATATTACAATGGAAATTTAATAAAACAATGAATAAACCTGAAAGAAGCCAGTTGAGGTGGTTTATGCCTCTGGCTGGGATGCTTACCGAGGAACTTCAATGTCCCAGAAGGAGTTGAAAGAAGTTATCTATTAGGTAAGTAGCTAATCAGGCATTGGTACTTTTCTGAGCACACCAACCACTTCGATCCTGACATGCATAAGTCATTATAAATTTTGTATAAAAAAGGAAAAAAGTAAAGCATTTTATCTTGAGTTGACAAAATATTGATCATTCATTTCAAATCAATCAGCTGAAGAAGAAAGCTGATTAATTTGGTAGGCCTACCTCAGAAAAACACACAAGAACACAGTGATGCAATTTTGATAATAAGAAAAATAGTCCTAGCTAAGCTTTGTTGTCCTCATGAGCTCATCAGGACTCCCCCACCGTGCACACAAACTGATCTACAGTCCAAGTTAAACTCTACTTTACCAATATTTTATGCTACTTTATACTTTTCCTCCACTATATTCCAGAGGGAAACATTTTACTTTTTTACCACACATTTATCTGATAACTCTAGTTACATCCAAGATAAAGATTATACACAATAGGTAACCAGTGATTTGCAACCTTTTGGGCTTCAGTTGCTTTATGAAAAGCAGAGTGCAGTCAGGTCACATTTCTGATGTCTATAAGTTGTTAACATCTGCACTAAGTAGTGATTTTTCTCTTAAAACGAGTAACATGCTTTAATTTCAATAAAAGTTCAAATGATCCACTGTGTCAACAAAGCAACGACTAGAGGAAATAGTCCATAAAGCAAAGAATAGCAAGAATGTTTTATATTGCATTGAACTCTAAAAAGTTCAAAAGTGTAAATAATATGAATGTAATTGTTATTTCACGAAGACATGTCATGAGTCCACTGGCCACTGGGTGGCATTGTTTTACACATGATGGAGTCTTCTTGCAAGATGAGGGCAGACAAGAAGACCTGATGACTACAGAGCATGTAGTCAGTAAAGGAGTTTTTCTTTTTCCTTCACGCTTTCCCCAAGTACTCGTTAGGTTTCCTTCCACTGCTGCACTTGTCACTGGTGGTTGTTAAACTCTAATTTCTTTCATCTGTGACAACATTGTAGAATCTTGTCTTGATGATGTTACCTGGCAACAATGGTGACAAGCTACTGGCTGTCAAAGGTCCCTCCAAAAAAACAAACAAAAAAAATTGCCACCACTTACTGAGATAATACTGTATGGTCTTGTTTTACTATGTTAAGTGCCTTAAGATGATGTCAGTTAGTAAGTTAGAATTTAGCGATATATGTGGTAGCATGCATATATAATGTAGGACAGATGATTCAAAGTGACAATCTAAATAGTAATGGATTTTTCCAAGATCAGTCCATGTTACAGTATGACACTGGAGATAAGACTTTTCTGTGAACAACTGTGTGTGAATGCAGTTTTATGCTACAAATCTACAAATACTATGTATAATAGTTTGAACTGTGCATTTTTTGTGGATTAGGTCAACTTCCTGTTTTTCTCTTTCACTGTAAGCCAGAGTTTCTGCCTTTGCACGATACAGCATTGCTCTGAAAAGTATTTGGAGACAGTTCCACTGTGCCATACAGGGTTAAAGTCCCTCCTCTGCACTACTGTTTAACTGATTGGGTCACAAGCAACAGCTCAGTTCTAGAGCGCTTACAGGCTATTTCACATCTGACTGCAGCTGCACAGGACTCGCAATCAGCCCACTGGAGAAGGTGAGAACAGCTGACATGTCTTTTAGACTTCAACAATAAGAGCATTGTTGTTGACCTATTTTTGTGCATGTGGTGTCCAGACAAGGCCAAAAATGGGCCTCTTGACAAACCAGTTTTGGAAAAGTTAACGAGTGCAGATACTTAAACTGCAATACATATAAAGTTACCAACATGTTAGAACTTGTTGTAGACTTTTGTTTTCAGTTATGAAACACATTTGCTTCAATTGTGTCCTTCCATGTACAAGTGCTGAGCAATGGTTCGCCGTGTGGCAGTGGTTGGAGCAGGCAGTTCAGGTCTGGTCTGCATTAAGACCTGCATCGATGAGGGCTTGGAGCCCGTCTGCTTTGAAAGTAGTGATGATATTGGTGGCCTGTGGAAATTCAAAGTGAGTTGTTGCACAGCTTAAGATCATGTTGTTGTTTTTGTTGAATCTTGTTGCTGTTGTTAAATCTTGCATTCATGGTGCATGAACAAGAGTGTATAGTTCCTGTACAGCAATCATTGACACAGCATAAAACTGTAAAATGTCCTTATCAGATGGTGATGTTTTAATCAGCTCTGACCTTGTTTTTCTCTGTATCCACAGGAGGTACCTGAGCCAGAGCGATCCAGCATCTACCGCTCCTTGGTGGTCAATACCTCCAAAGAGATGATGTGTTTCAGTGATTTTCCCATGCCTGCTCACTATCCAAACTTCATGCACAACTCTCAGCTGCTGCAATACTTCAGGCTCTATGCTGAGCATTTTGACCTGCTCAGACACATCAACTTTCAGGTAATTCCTGGTCAACCACTGAACAAGTCTTAAAGCCAAAGTTCTTAATAACAACATGTGTTTTTGTGCATGCAGACTACAGTGAAAAGTGTTGCACAAAGGCCAGATTTCTCTGTGTCTGGTCAGTGGGACGTAGTAACCATAAACAGGAATGGAGAAGAAGAGAAATACATATTTGATGCAGTTTTGGTGTGTTCAGGTCACTACACCCTTCCAGCCTTACCCCTGTCTGAATTTGAAGGTCAATATATACTTATTGTTATTTCAAGTCTGCACATTTAAAAAGAAAATAAAAAGGTCTTGTTTTCCTCATAGCTGTTGCAACATCTGTATTTCTTCAGGACATGAGACTTTTTCTGGCCGGTGTATTCACAGCTGGGAATATAAAGATGCAGATGACTGCAGAGGAAAGAGGGTGGTGGTGGTCGGCATTGGCAATTCTGGAGGAGATATTGCTGTAGAGATCAGTAGATCTGCAGAGAAGGTAAGACACAATGAGAATAGAAAAGCCCTTATCTCAATCTCCCCACTTAGGCATAACACTAAACTCTCATGAGTTTGTGGGGGTTGAAAATGATCTAAAAATTAGAAATTGGACACATTCTCGTGCATGCTCCTTGCATTTACAGCCAATCCTCTCATCCTCTCTGACAGACATTTCTCAGCACACGTCAGGGGGCCTGGGTGATTAGCAGGATGTCCAACAATGGCCTCCCTTTGGACATGACATTTATCACTAGGTTCAACAACATCCTCCCTAAGCTTCTCCCCAAGAGCTTGATGAACTGGACAGGAGAGAGAACACTGAACCACAGATATGACCACATTCTGTACGGCCTGAAACCTAGTCACAGGTGACAGACAGTATTTTCACCTGGGTGATGTCTGTTCTTTTCTGCCCAATGAGTCCTGACCACTAAGATTTATTTATGTGGACTTGTCTGGTTTCTTGTCACACAGCTTCAAACAACTTTTCTGTGTTTCTATGTTTGTTTCATTCTATTTGTTTAGAAGATTTTTCATGCTTTTAACCATGTAACTGTTGATTCTGAGTCTGACATTAGGTAGCACAGTGATCCAGTGTTTGACACTGTAAACTCAAGCTTCACTGAGTTCTCTATGGGATGTGTGTGCATGGTGTTGGAATGAGTTTTCTACATGTTAGAATCTGCCATTTTACCTTTGCCTGCATTGGTTTACTGGTGGTATATGTCTGTCACTCAGTATTAGCTAGAAAGTGTCCAGCCCAAGGGTAAAGCGAATATAGTTATTTGGGATTTGCCAGAAACCTACCCTCCTGCTTGTTAGTCTGAGTAGGTAAAATGTGATGTGCAGACACACCACAAGGCTTACCTAATCGTACTGAGATCTAATGATAGAAAACAGTCAAAACTGTTCATTCACACAGCAAAACTTTGTGCTTAATGTTATTATTGGAATGCTAACACGCTCACAATGTCAACACCAACATGTAAATGTTTAGCAGCTACCATTGCATTAAAGGCACAAACAGTAACATTCAGTTATACAAACATCTTAGAAAAAGCACAAAATTCTCTTAAGCGTATGGAGTAATTACAATTTGAATTGCTCACTACATAAAATAAGTGAACAAATGCAAAATTTCAATATTATTCATGTCACTAGGGAACATTGTGCAGTCTTAATCCGTGACTTTCATCAACACATTTACTCTGCAGACAATTAGTTTAAAAAAATGTTTGTAGCAAAGATACTTTGATTGACTTTAGCTATATTTTCTTTTTTCACAGAATACTGGAAAAAAAGCCTTTGATCAATGACGATCTTCCTGGCCGAATCCTTCATGGGGCTTTAGCCATGAAGCCCAATCTAAAAGGATTCAAGAAATCGGGAGTTGTATTTGAGGATGGCACCGTGGAGGAGAACATTGATGCTGTGGTCTTTTGTACAGGTTATAAAGGAACATTCCCATTCCTCCCCTCAGTTCTGTCTGAAGGACCTTATGGAGAGTTGACACTGTACAAGTAAGGTCATGTTGGACAGCATTATATACATGAGACTGGTGACATCTGATATGTAGACAGTAGGTTAAATATTACGCAATGGGTGGTAGTCACTCTACCATGGATAGTTTGTATGTAAAATGTAACAATACATTTTTAAAAATATTAGATTTTTATCCATCCAACCATTTTTTTCAGTTCTCTTGGGTCAACCATGCTTTTCAGTTCCTCCTTTAGGAAGGATGAATCAGAATCCCTTTAGTGAGTACACGACCATAGGTGAGGGTTAAAATGTAGTTCAACTGGTAAAACAAAAGCTTTGCCCTCTGGCTCAACTTCCTCCTCACCATGATGATCCAATACAAGGCCTACATTACTGCATAAAGTCCCTTGTCCATTTGACACCCCATTTTCCTGTCACTTATGAGCAGGACCCCAAGATACTTGAGCTCATGTACTTGGGAGAAGCAACTCCCTACCAACCTAGACGGAGCAATCCACCAGTTTGTGGCAGAAAACTGTAGCCCGATGAGGCAGAGATGTGAACCTGAATTCCCCAAACTGGACACCCTCCTCATCCAAACCTTACCCTTAAATCTTGTTCAAACAGGGTCAGAGACAAGGGGAAAACCTGGTGGAGTCCAACGTCCATGGGAAACATGTTTTGTGCACAGAATGCAAACACAGCTCTCATTTTGGTTGTAGAAGGACTGGCTGGCTCGTAACAAAGACCCCAGTACCCCATACTACCACAGTATCTCCCACAGGGCCCCTCAGAGGCAACTGTCATAAGCCTTTTCCAAATCCACAAAACACATTGCTCCTTTGACTCCAAGGTTCAACAATTGAATTGCATGGAGTACACATTCCCAGGGAGGCTGAGCAGTGAGATATTCCAATAGCTGGAGCATACCTTCCAGTACCCCTTTTTAAAAGAAGGAACCACCAACCTATTCTGCCATTCCACAGGCACTGTACCCGATACCCACACGGCATTGAAGAGAAATGTCAGCAAAGACAGTCCAACAATGTCCAGAGTCTTCAGCCTCTCTGGGCAAATCTCATCCAAACCTGGTACCTTGCCTCCAAGAAGTTTATTGACAACCTCAGCAACCTCTGCCACAAATCAAAGTGCTTGTTTTTCAGCCTGACAACCTCCTTCACTCCCAGCAGATTTTCAGTTTTCTGCCACTACAGGCAGCAGTGACCTTCTGAACCCAACTCCTAACAGTCCCTTCTGCAATGGAGGCTTTGAACATGGCCCACTCAGATTCCATGTCTCCAACCTCCTCTGCGATGCAGAAAAAATTCTTTTGGAGGGGGATGTTAAAAACCCCACAGACAGGGTAATCCACTGACATTCCCAGTTCACCCTTACTACACTTTTGGGTTTGCCAGGTCTGTTTGGCAGCCGTCCCCACCATCATATACAGCATGAGGGGAGCTTGACTATATCTCGTCAGTATCGCTTGACTTCCCGCACCAGCTCAGGTTCCTGCCCTACCAGTGAGGTGATGTTTCACATCTCCACAAACACTCCATGCCACCAGGGGCTGACATGCCGAGGTGCTCGCCCATGCCTGCTGCCTGGGGGGCATAGACCCTGGCCACAGCGTCAAGCCCTGCAGGTGGTGGGCCTACTGGGCAGCAGCTGTCTTTTCAACTGTGCCAGACAAAGCTCAACAAGACAATACTTGACCGCCAGACGTTCACTGGCAAGCTCCCATCTCAGGCCTGACTCCAGGAGGGGGTCCCAGTGTCCCTAATCTACGTGAGATGGTCCCTATCCTTGTCCATATCCATTGAGGTTCTGTGAATTGCTCTCAGTCTAGTTCCTCCCCTAGAACCAAGTTGCCCTGAGAGACCCTACCAAGTGCTATTACCCCTTACAACATAGCTCCCAGGATCGCAGGGACACACAAACCCCTTCACTACATTAAGGTGGCAATTTTTCAGTAATTCTAACATTTTTTAGGAGTTTAAGTTAACTGCCTTCCTAAAATACTTTTGCACATATGTGTATGAATTCTAAAATGTATTTATTGCTTTTCTACAAAACAAAATTGAATTATGGCTATTTTAAGTTTTTATTTAAAACTAAAGAACATGTCTGACCAACTAATAACTGAACAAGGTTGTAATGATCACTGACATATTAGATTTCAACTATTTTTTCTTTGTTTCACTCACTCACTCCCAAATGAGACTGTTAATTATTACATATTTACACCATGACGACTTGTCTAATAAGGTTTTTCATAATACAGAAGAGCATTTCCTCCGTCCCTGCAACAACCCACACTGGCCATCATGGGTCTTTTCCAAGCAAAAGGGCCGATCATGCCTTTAGTGGAAATGCAAGCACGCTGGGCTGTTAAGGTCTTTTCAGGTAAACGCTTTACACACACAAACACAGGTTTAAAGAAAAAGTGGTATCAACTGATGTGCTTTACGTTTAAGGTTTGAGCCGTCTTCCATCTGGGGAGAAAATGCTGGAAGTCATTGAGTCTGACAGAAGAAGAAACATGCAAAGGTAGACTTCATCCGCAAAGTGATATCCCTTGATGGCACAGCCAAATGATTCATTCCTTACTTGATTCATTCTTCAGTAAGTCTGGTTAATGATGTACAATATGTAAGAATCTACTTCCTTCATTTATTATCTTAGCTATCCCAGGCCGCAACAGGCTGTTCTACAGGTAGATTATATCCCATATCTGGACTTCATGGCCGAGGAGGTTAGTTCACTTTAACACTATATTAAACTTTACCATTCACACTGTCTATAAAAGACAAGGCCTTCATTATAGACTTTCAATCACAGGTAGGTGTCCGACCAAACCTCCTGAGTCTATTTCTGAGAGATCCTGTGCTCTGGATGAAGGTCTTCTTTGGTCCTTGCACTCCTTATCAATATCGTCTCTCTGGGCCTGGACACTGGGACGGAGCCCGACAGGCCATCCTCACTCAGTGGGAGAGGGTTGCTCAACCTTTCAGAACCAGAAAGGTACCAGAACCAAAGACCAGGAGGTCTGTGCTGTGTTCTCCATGGCTGCTCACGTTTGGAGGAACTCTGATAATGGCTGTGATTTTGTCAAAAAATGAGATGATCCCAACGCTGCAAGGTGCAGCTCAGATTCTGGAGAGCAGTAAAGTTTTCCTGAAGGACTTGTGGTTCACTGGGTGACCGCAAAATCAGGATGTATAATGTATGAATGGACAGTTATCAAACAACCACATTTTATAAGTGACAATAATTTACAATGCACTGAAACACAGTACACAGGTCCAGGATTCATGCACAGTCTTTCTGTGTTTTCTCTTTGTGATGGCGTACATAGACAGCCACAGCCTCCCACTTCTGATGTAGCGGACAAGTGCTGTAATGTAAAAATAAAATTCTGAAAGTAGTTTAGACTCTTCTGATAGGTGTATCATTTTAAAAGGCCAGTGAAATCTGCACACTTACCGAACAGCACATCGAAAATCCAAAACAGAGGCTCACAATCAGAGGCAGAAAAAACACTGGATCACACTTTTGGTACAAGAAATAAGAAAAGCCTTCATAAGCAGTCATGTAATTACACAAATACATATTTAATATGATTACATGAAGTGTATTTTCACTGTATTCTTGTTCCGTAAAGCCCAAATATCAAAACTAATGCACAAAAAACAGTTGTTTTTGTAGGAGTTCATTTGTGCAGAAATTATTGGGTTGTCAATTTTTTGAAGTCTTAGTTCAGTTTAGGGAAATTATGTAATATTGCAACAGTGGGTGAACAGAGGTAGAATATCAAATCAAATCAAATCAAATTTTATTTATATAGCACTATTCATATACAATGACAACACAAAGTGCTTTACAACATTTAAAAACAACAAAGCATTTCAAAACATGACATCATTTAAAACATTACAGCATTTAAAAAATAAGTTAAACCCGTCCCTCCCACCCTCCATGCATACACATAGACATACAGCAAAAGCACTCGCGCACACAAGCACACACACACTCACCACTCGACTAAAAGAGGCGTGGCATGGCACTGAGGGATTGTGGGAAACGCTACCATTGGGGCCGTCCACACCGGGACGAGTTGCAGACCATGACCACTGGGGGCGCCGGCACCCGGACCCCCAACCCGGCAGCCCCCTAAGGAAACACTGGAAACAAAACTGAAAACTTTAAGAATAAAAGTCCCTATGTAAGATAGGATGAAAGTTAAAAGAGTAAATACATAAAGATAGAATACAAAGATAAAATACAAATATAAATAAATGTAAATGTAATGTAAAAAGAACTAAAATTCAATTAAAAGCCTGATTAAAAAGGTGTGTCTTTAACCTTCTTTTAAAAATATCGACAGTCTCTGCAGTCCTGAGGCTCTCCGGCAGGCTGTTCCACAGGTGGGGGCCGTAGTGGCTAAATGCCGCCTCACCGTGGGTTCTGGTTCTTGTGACTGGAATGGATAAAAGGCTACTGCCGGAGGACCTCAGGATCCGCGAGGGTCGATACGGTAAAAGCAGATCAGATACATAAGGGGGCGCAAGGCCGTTAACACACTTAAAAACTAATAAAAGAACCTTAAAATCGATCCTGAAGCGGACGGGGAGCCAGTGCAGCGACTTTAAAACAGGTGTAATGTGATCCCGCCCTCTGCTCCTTGTCAGCACGCGAGCAGCTGAGTTTTGTAACAATTGGAGATTTAAAATACTCTTTTTGGGAAGACCAGAGAGCAGGGCATTACAATAATCTAAGCGACAGGAAATAAAAGCATGCATTAGCACCTCGGTGCTGGCCTGACAGAGAAACGGGCGAACTCTGGCTATGTTCTTGAGATGATAAAAGCCTATCTTCACTATGTTTAGAATAGAAGAAAGGAGTTAATAAAGACTGGGTCAAAATCCAAAGACATGGAGAACAGTTCATTATTAAAGCAGTCTTTAGAGACCAGGGAACAGGGCAAATGGAGAAAATCAGGTTCTGAAGGACATGAAACTTAAAGTAGATTTTATGTATGGTTATCATGGGAAAAAAAGCAAAGAACAGACATACAGATGGACACATTTTTTCCCTTGTTAGTGAGATGATTAGACATTTTTTAGCTCACATTTAGATGCCAGTCCCCAGACATGATCCATCTCTGTATTTCACAGACAGTTTTAGCTCAGTCGTTTGCAGAGGACCTTTGATATCTGATACAAAATATGAAACTGTGCCTAACATAAGGAAAAAACACAAAAATATTGACATTTTTGCATTTTCATTTCATGATGCATGTTTAAAATCATGTTATATGGGTAAGGGACAACTCTATAAGCTTCAAATATTCATGTCTAAAACGGTTGAGTGGACTCAAAATGTGCCCACATGAATAATAAACCAGATCCTGAGAAATCCCAGACATAAATTGCAACACAGATGTCCTGGAAGCATTTTAAAGCTGCGGTGTCCTCTCTGTAAAGTTCAGAAAGCTCCAGAAAATAAAATACAGAATTAGTTACATATGTTTTTAATAGTAAACAGAGGAAAAACAAAGCTAAGAGACACTCACGAAATACAGAAACTGTTACAAAGCTGAAAATGCACTGTTGTGTGGGTTGGCTTGATAAAATAGAAAGCCAGCTGACAATAAGTTTTAAAGATGAAAAAAGTGCAGCAGTTGTTTTTTTCAGTTTGCATTGATCAGTGCAGCATTTTAAGAGATAAACATCCCGTTGCTACTAAGACCTGTGGTTGCTGGTTGAAGATCTGTGAAGCATCTTTACTGACTAATCCAGCATTGTTTAAGTTGAGTTTGATACTTCATGTATTAACTTGTTTTAAGGACACACATGTGATCAATCATCAACCTGCCCTGTCTGTCTGTCTGTCTGTCTGTATATAATGTGACTAAAAAATTAGTCTGGAGGACACTTCAGCCCGGTATTCCTTATTGATGGTGGCGAAGAGGTAAGTGTTGCAGGTGTTCATGTGGGTGCAGATATGATTTTCATAAATACAGTACAATGTAAACTGATGTTAAGAATCAGCTTCTTTGCATACTATGTTTTAGGTTGAAATGTAAGAGTGCATTTCCAAGCTTTACCTTCCAGTGTTTATGTGCACAGAAAGGAAAAGCTCAAGTTGAACTGATGTTATGATCTGACAGTTTATTATCACAGTTATTGAAAATATTGCAATGTACTTTTCATTCATTCTATTTATTGGAATACAACAGCTAAGTAACTTGAATGAAGTCTAATCTGATCATATAGATTGAGTGTTGTGATCGCATTTACTTTACAGCAACATTTCATGGTTCGATCTGTGCTGGTTCGTGCTCCTATTTCCTCTGTCCTTTCAATTTCTTGTTCAGAGTGTCATGGCTCAAAGGCGATGACAAAAACAGAGAGACGCAGTGCGAAGTTAAACAAAAAATATATTAAAGAAATATAACAATACCGGTATGAGGTGTGTTGGGCAGTATGATCAGTGGATGTGAATGTGTGTAAGTGTGTGGCGTTGTAGTGATGTGGTGCTGCAAACAAAAGATACAGACGCTGGCCGAGAAGTCGAACAGAGAGCAGAGCAGAGAGAGAGAGACGCTGATCAGCCACGCTTTTAACTCCGTCCATGCACCGGGCCCAGGTGCTCACGATCAGGTTAATTAAAAGGCTGGATCAGCTGATCACCTCGGAA